AACCTAGCCCAGAGTAAAACAGTTACTCGTGTTTGCTAGGGCAATTCAAACTTTAAAGTAATCCATGTTTTTCTAAGACAGACATTCTACAAGTAGCCATAAATATTTTAGCCAAAGAGTGTTTTCCTCTTTCCATTTTCAATCAGTTGTGCCCTAGGAAAACCGGTAAGTTTCCAGAGTGCAACGACAAAGTGTAAAGAGAAATAAAAAATTTAAAGAAACATTAATTTATGAAACAATTTCAGCTAGTGTCTTTGATAATTTGTTTAGATTAGCTGGGTTCTCTGAAATACCTTGTTAATTAAGTATCAGTAAAATAATTTAAGTGAATATCTTGGCATGTGAAGCCAGAGCAGAAAAGTTTGTATAGGCGAAAGCTCCAGAATAATTAGCTTAACACCAGAATACAATCCATTGCACCAAAAGACTATAGTGGGGGAAATGACTGAAATATGCATTATGTGTTGTGTTCTTTCTTTACATTGAAAGGAAAAAGATGCTGTAAGTAAATTTGTACCATTTTATTTTTTAAATGAAATTATTATTTTAATAAGTATGGCATACTAATCACAATTTCTTTTTCAAGCTTCTACTGTATCTTTTACGTGATCAAAGAGTCAGCTGCACTCGCAATTTTAATCCGCAGAGAAAGCTTATGCGGTCATGTCACCAGCTACTGACTCCTGAGTCTGTGATCCTAGCTTGTGCACGGGATGCACGCAGCACTTCCCAGACATCCCTGGCTCTGTGCTTTCTGAGGTGGCCATCAATCAGTGCTGCTTAAGAAACTGAAGGTGTGGTGCCCTCACTTTTGAAAAAGCAAAAAAGTATAGACTTTCTCCATGCTCTTTCTGGTGCAGCCCCAATTCCAGGCTATGTGGCCTGCAGCCTTAGGGGCAATTGATGTGTTTCACCTTCAGCACACATCCCTGGGTCTGCTTCCTGAGGTGTGATTGGCTGCCACCTTCTGTAGGTACAGCTGTACTTGCCCTGTACTCCTGGAGAATGAGGTGTGATTCAAAAATACTTGAATGATTATATTTTCAAAAACTTATGACAATGAAAGACACGTTGTCATCACTCTCCCTCAAAATACTCCTGCTTGCTTCCAACACACGTATCCCATCTTTCTTACCACTTACTGAAGCAGTTCTGGAAGTCCTCTTTCATGAGTGTCTTCAGTTGCATTGTCACAAAGGCCTTGATGTCCTGAGTTGATTCAACATATTTACCTTTCATGGTCATTTTGACTTTGTAGAAAAGCCAGAAGCCACAGGGTACCAGTTCCATTGAATAAAGTAGATGAGAACATACTATAATATTTCTTGTTAACAGAAATGGCCATAAACATTTGATCAGTGAGAGGTAATCCAAAAATATGGTAAATGTTTAAATTTTAAAAATTACTACGGCAAAAGACACATTGCTATTAATCCCCTCTAAATGTTCTCCCTTGCTACAAAAACACATTCCATCATTCCTGCTGATATGATTTTACTGTAATAATTTTTTTCATTTAAACATTCAACGTATGTTTCAATTACCCCTTGTATGTACATGCTCATTTTGGAGTAATATGCAGCTTTCTTGCTCCTTTGCCCAAGATCCCTGGGGGAGTCCTGTTATCCATCCTTGTGAGTTTGCCTGTCCGTTTCTCATAACACCTAACAGATTTCACTGATTGTAAATTAAACTTGGTACCAAGTAAATGCAATTTAATAAACATGCATCTATTTGGGGTGTAACAGTTTCTCTCTACTCCTTGCCTCCTATGTCAATGTTTATACACAACAAAATAAGGTCCCCAGCCCCAGGACTCTAGTCGCCAATGGCCTTTGGCATGGACCCTAGTCAAAGGCCTTTAAAAAACATCTATTCTTTCCCCTCCTTTTCTCCATCCTGTTATATCTACTGAAAATGTAGTTAAAGAAACTACATTATTTTCAGTGTCACTTTTCTCCTTTGCAGAGTCAGTCATTAAGGATTTGCCTGGTGCCTAGCATGAGCAAGGTCAAAATTTGCCCAGCGGAGGTGTGCTCACTGGGATTTAAATCCTTGCATACCCCTCAGTCCTTCTTCCTGACCTGGTCACATTTGCAGTCTGGCACAGTAGCTTGCATAACAATAGATCCAATGCCCTAATTTCATCCTTGAGTTCCTGCAAAACTCATTCAGCTGCCCTCCAAGCGGTAATTTATCTAGATTTATTGTGTCAATTTGGCGGAATAGCTCAGATACAACCAATGCAGGATTTGATATAATCAATCTTCCATTTCTAGGAAAAATACAGGACATCTCTCTATGATCTTCTTCATTAAAAGCTAGGGTTTCAGAACACCCTCATGAGAATCATCTTTTCATCCCTTGGAGAACTCTCCATTCTTACATCATCTGTGCTCAGTCCTCTCCCCTAAGTTAAATTGTTCTTTCTGATTCATTGAAAGGAAGTTGTATTGCTCTTGAAGACTCACATATAATGCTTCTCAATTTCTTTGCATTTTGAAAACTACCTTCTTGCTATATTATTCCTAATCTCCCATGCTTTCCAAACTTTTCTATTCTTATTATTGGAAATATGTTCCCACTTAAGAAAAGAAACTAATTATTGCCTGATGTAAAGTGTTTGATACCTCCAGTTATCCACGCAACTGGGAATGCATGGACATGAGATAATTTTGAACAAGGCAGTTTTTACAAAACCACTGCATTTTTATAACAGCTACCTGTTCCAAAAATAGTTTCAAAAAAAAAAAAACCTGAATGAATAGATGTTCAAAATGCTGGGAACACCTATTATAGTGATTAATATCCATTCATTAATATAACAGATTAATTGATCACTAATTTTGTGTTAAACGAAAGTGCTAGGCACTGGGAATTTAACTGATTCATCAGAATCATTTCTGCCCCCAAGGTTCACACAGTTTGGAGTCACAACGCAAACAATAAAATAAACAAATCAAGGTCACTTCTTGTGATAAATGTCCCGTAATAGGTAAAACTGGAGGAGGGAGAGGTGCTTGTCTCCCCATCCAAGGCAGAAACTGTTTGTAGAGTGAGGTGAATAATGGGATTGATCAGCATTCTGAAGAGTGGGTGAGTGAGTCCTGGCCAGACCCTGGGGAAAGGGTAGAGGAAGAAGGCATGGAGCAGAATGGCAGCAGCACAGCCACAGAAATGGGAGGAGCTGAGACTTCAGGAGATAGCTGGGTATGCCACGAGAAAAAAATTAAAATTTCATCCTGCAGGAAAAAGAAGATGAGGAGGATTTTAAACCTGACATAATATGGTCAAATTTAGGATAGAAGTGTGCAAGCAGAGGGAACAATCTGGAGGTTATTACCGCGTTAAAAGCAAGAGCCTGTAGAAGCAATGACTGTGGAAATGCAGGGAAGGGAGTGGATTCCACATACAGCAAAGAGAGTTATTGGACTCCTTCAAATGTTTTTTCAACAGTGGTGAGTTAAGAAAGAGCAAGAAATCAAGATGAGGGTGAAATCTGCTCCAGTATTCATTTTTTGATAACATGGCAATTCTAGCAACCAGAAGGGGGTGGGGTGGAGGAGGAAAAGCAGTTAGCATTATGGTTGGTCTAAGTATTATGCAAAGGCTCTGTAAAGATAATGAGTTCTATTCGGAACATGCTTGATTTTGCATGAGGTATTCAAGTAGAGAGTTTTAATAAATAGTTATGCAAGCCTGATGGTCAGGCTTAGAAATAGGGAGAATCACCAACCAGTTTTGTATCCTGGCTAGCTATATTCCAGGATACTGGGATACAGGTGCTATACTAAGAAAGAAAGTAACAAAGATGAATAAAAATTACCCCTCTCTGAAGTCTATTAAGGAACAAAGACAAAATTACACATTATATCTTGTTCTCATATATCACATATATGAATCTTAGTCACATAAGTAATTTATTTTATGTGTTAAAGCATTGGCAATACAAACTTTATTTGCTTCTTATTTATTTACTCAGCCACATTATTAAGTAACTCTTTTTTGATCATTGTTAAGGGTAGCAATTAAAATCAAAAGCAATATGATATTCTTTCCAATTCCAAAGATACAAGAATACAGCAATAGATACCACAGTTCACAAACTGGATTCTTTCCACTATTCTGGTCACAAACCAAGCTGGATAAGAACTAAGTCAAATAATGGTTAGTTAGGTTCAGTGTTTACTTTATAGGGAAATTTGACTCAGTTCTCACCCAGTTCGGTTTGCAACCAGAATCAAGGAGAGAAATGAGTTCATGAACTAAGGTGCTACCGTACAGTTCATTCCAACTAGAAAATAATTTAGCTGAAACACTACACTTCTTACAATATGCCCTTTGTGTCACATTTTTTGGAAGACAAGTTTTTTATACTTTCTAAATCAATGAACACCTGGCAGTATTTGTGTCACTTTACGTAAAAGTAAAACTTTTCAAACAGAGCTCTATTTCCCTCTTTAAAATATCAGCTCTCTTTGAAAAGTAAACATATCTTAAATCACAGCTGATTTGTGGGTAGGAAATGATAGTTGAAATAAATGTGTGATGAAAAAGTCCCCTGGTTACCCTGACCTCAAATTCGGGAATTCTATGACAAGAAAGGCAGTTCTGAAGCATGTTTAAATAAGTGAGAGAGACTGGACTCATCCTACACAAAATTATTTTATGAAACCCAAAGTTAAAATATGTTCTGTTATTTAAATTCATAGTTAGCTAGTGCATATTCCGCTGGCCATCAGCCCATGTTTTGCAAGTGAGATACACAAAGAATTAACTAGAAGATTCTGATATCTCTGGGAAAAGAAAAAGGAACTTGAATAGACCAGTTTTCAGAAATGCATGTTGAATTGCAATCACCACCTTTTCTAAAATAGATGTGTTCACATAATGCATGCCGTCATGAATCCTGTGATTTCTCCAGAATAGAAAATGTCCAACATCATTACTGGCTGTACTCCAAGTGACATCATGTTTTGTTTTCTATTACTACTAAACAGGGAAGGCCATGGTAAAATTTCAGTATTTGCTGTCAAAATGGCTTTAGCCACGTTGTGTGGAGGGAAGATCATGGACAAACTGAGATGTAAGTTACTCTTCTTTGTGTCTCCTTTTGCTTACCTGTGCTCTGTAGCACTGTTCCCCTCCCTTAGTCCTGGTGCATCCCTCTGCCCATTTGTGTGTTTCCTCATTCTATGAGAATCACTTGATCAATGCAATCTTCTTTGATCTTTGGATTTTGTCATAGAAACACTTTCATATTAGGTAAATGTTAATGAAATGGACATTTTCCTCTACTTGTAGGTTAATATCATTTCAAACTCGAGTATCAGTTTTTTAGCCAATAACACGGTGATGTTTTTTCCATTTGAGTGCTATGATTTAAAAAGCTAAGATTCATGAAATAAATCACATAAGTAAGATGGTGCTAGGATTCAAATCCTGACTCTTTTTTCTATACCAGTGGTCCTCAAATTTTAGTTTGCTTTTCAAAATAGACTTCTAGGGTGCCCCCAGAGTTTCTCATTCAGTAGGCCTTAGGTAGAGGTAAGGAGTAAGAATTTTCAGTTTGAACTAGATTAAAATGATGCTGATGCTGACATTTAAAAGTTTTCTTTAACTCTACCTCATGCCCCAAATCTTCTGAGTTTGGGTTATAATGCTGTGTTAAAAGGGCACTGCCATGGGAACTGGGAGTTTCAGCTATCAGACTAATTTGCTGAGTTACCCTACATTTCTTTACGTCACTTCTTTAGTCCTCAGCTTTCTTCCACAATCCAAATTTGGGGATTTTATTAATTACCTGTAGCGTCATTTCTAGCTGCATCCATTTGTGACTAACAGCCAAAAGTCTCTTTTCTCCCTGGCTACCTCTCAGCTTCAGAGTGTGTCTTTTGCCTCTTGAGTGCCAAGAAGAAGAATGAAGGAAAACACATAAAAACTCTTTGCTCTGTTGGAATTTCCCCAGACACACTTCCAGGGAGAGTTGTCTCTTTGGCCCAGTAAATAAATAAAAGGAACCACAGAGCCCCAGGTGACCACCTGGCTTTCCTCCTTTCCAGGGACTTCCTTCCGTGGGTCAGCCAAGTGCAGCCAGGATTCAGACATCCAGCCAGACCTTCGGAGGGTCAGATTAGTCTCTGTATAGCCTGAAGGACCTAGACAATGACAACTATCTGCTTCTGTGCTTGGCTTCTGTGCTGGAACCAGTGGCCTTAAAGAGCGGGGAGTGAGCTTTGTAGTGATCAGGAGGCATTTCTTTCAGGGGTAGGCTAACGAGAAAATTTAACAAAATAAACCACAGCAGAGAAAGCAAGCACTGAGGGCCTTGCCTGCTGACCTCACGTCACAACTGGTCATTTATGCTCAGGGCATGAGATAAATACAAAAAGTAATAATAATAATAATAATAATAATAATAATAATAATAATAATAATAATACTTGTCCAACATTATATTAATTGGTACCTGGATGAAAGGGTCTTATGTTAAAATAAGTTTGGGGAAAACTGATAAAACCAGTTTTCTAAACTTCGGGACTCCACCACTTCAGCGTTCCATGTTTATCCT